CCTCGAGATAGAAAGTGATCGGATTGGATCGACCTCGGAACTTGTCGAGCGAGCTTATCTTGCTGGAGCTGTTGCTCATTAGCTCGTCGAATTTCCTCTTGATCGATCTGATCGAGAGCATGCTCGGGGTCCCGCCCGAGATGACCAAGGCTCTGGGGAAATATTCCCACCAGCTGGTCGAGCGCAAGGGCTCCTGGGGCAGCTGAAGCTCGGCAGGGAGGCCGAATTCCCTTAGGGCGAATCAGTCCTCGGGTCGACCGACTCTGAGGGCTACCTGTAGGCCGAAATCGTTGTTGGAAGGAGGGAGGTCCTCGACTTTCTTAGCCTCGGGAGCCTCCTGCCGTGGGGGTCTCCTGCCCGGGTGTATCTCTTCCGGTGCCCGTCCTTGATCAGAATCTCGATTGCATCCTTCAAGTGGATGCAATCCTCTGTTACATGCCCGTGGCTCCGGTGGAAACGGATGTACTTCAATTTGTCCACGTTGGCTTTGGTGGGTGCCGATTTTAGAAAACGGACGGCTCCCCGGATAAATTCCAAATTGGCGCACTCAGCCAGTATGCGCTCGTGGGAAGCGATTAGGGTCGTGTATTCGGTGAAACGGCCAGTGGGGCCCCGCTGCTCGCGAGGTTCTCGGGGTCGGTCCTCCCGTTGCCAGTCTCCTCCGCGTCGGTAGGTCGAGGCCCCTTCATCTCGGGACCCGCGGGGGGTTTCTCTGTTCCGTGTGTCGCAGGCGGTGTTGGCGGCCTTCATTTACTCGAATCGGATGTAATAACGGGCTCTCTTGAGGAAATCCTGGAGGGAGTCTGGCCGGTGGATGGCCACAACCTCGTAGAACTTGGAGTCTCGACGCATGCCCTGCTCCATCAGGTAACACTTCATCTCGTTCGAAGTCGTTACCTGGACCGTCTCCATTGTGAACCTCTCAATGTAGTTCCTGAGAGGCTCATCGAGGGCCTGATTGATCGTGCCTAGGGTAGGCTCCGTCTTCGGATGTCGTCTCGAGGCCGTGAAATATCGTGAAAATAGATCCTTCAAGATCCTCCACGACGTGATCGACTCGGACTCTAGACTTTTGTACCATGCCATGGCGCCTTTTCTTAGGGTTGTTGGAAAGAGCCTGCACTTGATGGCTTCCCGGACGTTCCTGTAGTCGAGCATAGCCTCGATGTCCTCCAGGTGGTCGTCTGGATCCGAGGTGCCATCAAACGTCGAGAGGACCGGTGGCTTCTCCATCCCATTGGGAATGGGGGTCGCCATGATTTCCCGTGATAGGGGGTTCTGTAGTCGTCCTCGTCGCTGCAGATGGGGGACCAAGGCAATGATGACCCGTGTCGAGGAGGTTGATTACGCACCCTCGGTCTTCTAGCCGGTGTAACACCCCACTTTTGAATATTCCTATTCCTATAGGGACAACATATTACAATTTTTCCTTCAATTACACCCTACGACATTAAAATTACTCACTATCTAATATTTAACCCCTTCAGGGTCAGACATATAGCAATGTCAAGGTTCTGGCCATGAAAGTCCAATTTCCCATAATTAACCCAAATCCCTAAACCTTAGAGCATCGTACTAATAATGATATAACACATTCATTTCTACATATTTGCCCAAATCCCTAAAAGTTCAGATTTCCAGATCTACTACTCACTAGTATTCTATGACAGCATCAAGCATTTCTCATACGAATTCCATATTAATTCTGGTTTCGGATACACAAAACATCATACAAACAGTATTCAACAATAACAGAAAATTTGAGAACAAATCAAGTTACGAAAATTGGATTCAAGGATCCTCAAGAACACATAATTCCTATGAGAGAAAGGACCTCTCACTATCCTCTCATGTTAATTCACCCATATTGAAATCCATTCTCCCCCCTTACCTTAGAATTGAGCTTTTCCTTGATCAACAATTGAGAATTTGGTTCCTCTGCCCTAGCTCTCCTTGTTCGTCAGTTTCTCTTTTTCACGTACTAACTGGTTAACCCTCCACTAACTCTCTATTAACCCCTTAATTAAATTTTAATTCAGTTAATTTAAATTATTACTAGTAATAATAATATCAATAATAATAATAATAATATCAATAATATTACTAATAATAATAATAATGATATTACTAATAATAATAATAGTCTCGTTAACATTATTATTATTAATAATTGGAATAATATTAATCACTATAATGCTCTTAATATCATAATTAACTTACTTCTTTATCTAGGTCCATAGTACTCCAACTAAGGTCACCTCTCTCCCTTACTCCTAACCCCATACCCTTAATTAAGGACACCACACAACTACACATCACAGAAAATACCAAAGCGACTGAATAATTTAAATGGGGTGTTACAGCCGGTGCCTCGGGCCTGTTCGCCCCTGGATCCAGGGAACGCCTCTCCTTTTGGGGCGGTGACCTCGCTCGTTTCTTGGAGACCACTGGTTGGGGCCTCTCTAGCTGTGGTCGGCGCCCCCGTGGTTAGGGAGATGGGCTCTTTGAGTTCCCGCGCTGATCTCCCCGCGGAGGGGAGCGGGATGAGGTGTCGTGTTCCAGCGCGCCAATGCACTCATTTTACTGGAACAACATCTGGTTCGTCTAGTTGATGGCCGCGAAGAGGGCAACCATCGTCGGGTCCGCCCCGGCCGGCGTGGGGATGGGCAAGAAGACTGTCGGGCTTCTCGCCCGAGGCACGACGTGATGTGGCGCGTCCTCGGATGAAGGGGAGGCAATTTGGCCGTCCCTGTGGTCGGTCTCATGGTGTTGTGACGTCCCGACGGGTTGTCGCTGTTGGTGACCGGGGTAAAGGCAGAGCCGAGAACAGCGCCATCGTGTCGTGGGCTAGTCATACTCTTGAAATTTGAAAGGAGGAAACTTTGGTTCTCTGCTCGGAGGAACGGGGAAGCTTAGTTCCCACAGACGCGCCACTGGTCGTACCTGACCAGAAGGGAGACAATGACCTGCCACGCGTCGCTGATCTGCTAACTGCTCACCGGAGGTATGGAAGAGGAGGGGGTGCACCTGAAACACACTCCGATGTCAAAGTAAGTGACGAGCAGAGTGGGAGCAAGTACAGAGAGAGAGAGAGTAAGAAGTTAAGTTACCTAACCCTCTAGTGAAGAGGGTATTTATAGTGAGCCCTCAGCGCAGGGCCAACGGTTACCTAGCACTTGGCTGGGCTGCCAGGCCCAATGTTAGTAATTGCTAGGGCTGACGTGGCGTCGTGAAGGCCAGGACGTGGTCTTCACCCTAGGGTAACTGTTTCGCACTATCCGGGAGGAGAAAGACCTAATTTCCAGGACGTGGGTAGTTATTTTATGACGTGTCCCTGCGTGAGGGACACATGGAGAACGTGGGGGAAGGCCCGAGGAGTTCCCCGGGCAGCCAGAGGTGGCTGGTCGGATTCGAGGGCCCTGCCCGACGATGGGGAAGAAGGAGGTTGGCTGGTCGGAAGCGAGGGACCTGTCCGACGGGGAGGTGTTGTGCTCGACGGGGACCCTGCCCGTTAGCGTGGTACTCTTCGACCCAACCCCATTGGGCTTGGGCTTGCTTGGTTGTGAGTAAAGCGTCGGCCCGGTCCAAAACATCTGTTTTTTATTCTAGAGTAATGAGAATGAATTAGTACACATGTAAAATATATTTTTAAAAATCTAGTTATTACGGAGGTTTCCGTTTGTTTTGGTATATCTCATAGCTTCTACTATCTTTAAAATTAATTTTAAATTAGAGAAAATTTAAAGTTAGAAATTTTTAACATTTTATTCCTTTGTAATTTTTGTTTATTTTAAGTGAATATAAATTAAATCAAAATTAAAATCATTTAATTGTTTATTTTTTAAAAATAATAATATGAAAAGTTATGTTTTATTTAAAAAATATTTTACAATAATCAATATTTTTTTTAACATTTTACAACTCATCATTCATATCACTTTCTTTAATTGTTAAAATCTCTCTCAATGCTTCTAATTGTTCTTCAATGAATAACTTAAAACCTTAAAAGAGATTCGAAATATTAAAGAATGAATGATTAGTTATAAAATATTTAAAAATTAATGATTAACGCAAGTTGTGTTTTAAATATAACACACTTGTTCATATAATTATTTTTAATTAAAATTTAGCGAAATAAAATATCCATATTAAATATAATAAACTTAATTGTGTTTACTTAAATATTAAAATCAAAGAAAAATATGTTTCTTTCACTTAATAATTCCAAAAAAATCATACCATTAAACGGTTGTCCTCGGTTTTATTAAAATCCGAGAAGTAATGTGATATACTTCTTATAATACCCTATTTTCAATTGAGATTAAGTATATTATTTGTAATTGTGACTCAGACACAGAGAAAGCATCCTTTAAAATAAATTTATTATTATAAATAAGCATCAAGGCAGATTAATGGCCTTGATGGACCAAGACCAGACAATAGAGGATGAGCATTGATGATTATTTATTAGTTTTAAGTATGTGGAATTAATGCTTAGAGTTGAATGTAAACCAATAGCAATGGAAGGGGTTGAAAGATTTATACACAAAACTTAGTCAAATGAGTCCATACGAGTCCATACCAACCCTCGCTGGTAAGGTTACGACTGAACTTCAATGGTCTCTCAGCAGCGAGGTAACAAACAGACAGATGGCAATTTTAATCTTTATTATATCATTCCAGCAATACAAGCCAGAGACTTAACTACTATCAATACATGCAAGAGACCTAACTACTAGCACAAGAAGTCTATAAGAAAACCAATAAACAAAAAAATTGAAAAAGAATCCCAACACATAAAAAAGGAATAATCAAGACATAAAAAGATACAAATAAAGCACCAACAACAAATAACCACAAAAGGGAATAAAAACTGGATAAAACACAACTCCACTTAGAGAAACCAAGACCACCATCAATAGAAACAGAAACAGAATCATTCAAAAATACAGCAAGAACCTAAATATCACCAATCATCCAATAAAACATTTGTCGAATACTTAAAGGCATCTTTTAGTGACTTTGATCTTTAAGCCATGTTTTATGCGAAGAACAAAAGAAACCCTTGGTGTCACTCTGTGAGAGTCCACAACCTCTATGTGAAACCTCCACAACATAGCAGCTGCAACCATTTTCATTTGAACAAGGCTAATACCTTTTGCAATACAACTTCTTGGACCGGCATTGAATGCTATGAACTTGTAAGATGGTACATGTATAATCTGTCCTTTATCTGATATCCATCTCTCTGGCTTAAATTCCAAGCAATCCTCTCCCCATATTTCTTCCATCCTTCCCATTGCATATAAAGAATATATTAACTTTGTATTTGCACTAACATGGTCTCCACTAGGTAGTATGTCAGCTTTTATTGCACACTTGAGCTCAAATGGTATAGGTGGATAAAGCCTTAAGGCTTCACATATAGCTCCATGAAGATACACTAGCTTATCAAGGTGTTGTATGCTTAAATTTGAAATAGAATTCTCCTCTTGTGCTAAATAGTTATCTTTGATCTCTTGAACAATTTTAGCTTCCACAATAGGATGAGTTGAAACAAGCCAAAAGAACCAACTGAGACCTGAACTTATTGTTCCATTTCCTGCACTCAAGAGATTGAGTGTAGTGTCTCTAAGATAATACTTATCAACCATTTCATCCTTTTCCAAGCATCCCTTCATTAACTCTTTTAGCAAGCAAGAATGATATTCATCCTCATCTTCATTGCCTTTGGAATAAGTTATACATTTGTACAAGAATTGGTGAAGATTTTCTAGAGCTACCTTGTGCTTCTTCTCTTGACCAATTTGTAGCCATTTTTGAAGCTTCCACAAACATTTTGGAATACTGTGTCTGAAAAATATCGTATCCTCAATCTCAGACACAGCTTTTACATAAGTAACATCGGAAAAGTCACTGAAGTTGCAAGGAAGGGAATTAGGATCGAATCCAAATAAAAAGGTAGAGGTGATGTCAAAGGTGAACCTCTCAAGAATATCTTGTAAATCAAGTACTTGTACACCTTCGCATGAAAGATCAAGAAGTGGTAATAGGCAGTTCTCAAGCTTCTTTTGAATGTTATTTTGATGGAAAATCTCAAAGTTTTTCCTTTTTAGCAATGAATGTAGTAATGATCTCTCTTGTTTCCATTCATTGAAATCCAAATTTAAAATACCAACTCCGAAGACTTCCAAAAACTCATGGAAATCAGATCCTTTCCCATAGTTGCTGAAATTCTTGTAGGTGATGTGCTGCACGTTCATGGGATCACAAGTGAAAATAATGTTGGCCATGTTTGTGAGCCATGGTCCTTTAAAATGAAAAGTGCCTGCATAATGTTTGAAAACTATGGTTGCGAAATCGTGAATATTAGATAGATTAAGGAAAACTGATGGTAGCATGCCAATAATTGGCCAACTTGGGATAACAACATTTTTGTTGCGTTTCCATATATTGTAGAATATGATGAAGAGAATGGCTACAAATAATGAAATGCACTCAAACAATGTCATTGTACAAGCAGAGCTGAAAGCTGAATCAGAAAATGCAAACTTATTTGATTTGCTTTCTCCTTAGTGTGGAGAATGTTAGGTAAATGATATTTAAGTAGGTGGTTGAAAGTAACATTCAGTTATTAAGTTGTACTTTAGAGATTTTACTTAAAATGTAGAGTATACTAATTGTTTATATGGTTTTAAATTGCGGTTGTGACTATTGCGATTGTAGTTAATGGTTGTTGTGATGCGCATTGCGGCCGTTGCGGTGTGAATTTTTATAGAAAAGTGTTTGAAATATAATGTTGAAAAACACTAAATATTAAGTTTTTTTCATTACATATGCATATGAAGTAAATTGAGTTTTAAGATTTTAATATTTTGAGTTTTGATGAAAATATTTGAAAAATCATATTGAAAATGTTAGATGTGGTTCTTAATAGAGCTGGAGACGTAATTTTAAAATCACATTGCAATTGCGGTTCCACAACTGCATCCGCAATATTGCATGTGCAATTACAATTGCGGATCGCAATATAAAACCATGATTGTTTAGATTCTGAAGTGTTTTAACAAATTATCTCTTATGGTACAAAGGCTAAAGAGATTGATGATCTAGTAATGATGGTTCAACGATTGGAAAAAAAAAATTATGACAATTTGCTAAGGCAAAAAGATGGTCCAACATATGATCTAGTAATAATGATATTGTAATGATAGGGCAAATGAATGGTACAAAGACTATGTGGTAGTAGTTATTATGAACGTTTAAAAATGTGCTTACAGATACCAGTTGCTATTTCAATCATTAAAATTTCGTAGTCCCATTGAATTTACCATAATCTTGTTATTTGTAAAACACCCGCAAGTAACCAAGTAATACATATATATTTGCAATGTTTAGGTGGGAAATGTTAAAATAGATATCAAAGTAAAATGTTTCCACAAACGTCACGTGAATATAGCATATTTTTAGTGTAGGTGCTGGTTAAGATCTAGCACACGTGTCTCCTTGTGGAGGGTAGAATTTCGATTTTTTTTTAGAATAACTATATATTAAATAATATCCGTTCGCCATTCCAATTGACGAATGTGTGTAAAATGAAAATCAAAAAATAAAATTGACCACATCAATTGGCGAATGAAGCCAAACTTTAATGACTTCGCCATCTCAATTAGCAAATGTGTAGTAGTGTGTTAGGGTAGGGTTTCCACGTTTTCATATTTTCATTATATGTTTAATTTCAATTAATTTTTTAATGTATTTAATATCTAATTTTTTTTATATTTTTAATTATTATTATCTTTTTAAACATAAATATTATTAATAAACTTAAAAAAATTAGGTTTAAATGTTTAAATTAATTTTTGAATTAATAAATTTAAAATAATCTTGTTTAATGTTGAAATTTATTTTTTAATTAATAAACTTTAAATAATTAGGTTTAGATAAAAATAATTTCAAATTAATTTAATAAATTTATGTTTAATAAACAATAAAGTTAAACTGGTTTAATAAAATTAGGTTTAAATACAAAATAAAAATATAGTGTTGATTTAATTTTAAGTGTGTAAATGTTGTAAGGTTATTTAAGTCATATCATATAGGGTACGTACTATTTTTTTTACTATAAATACGACTGCAAACACATGTATGTTTTCACAATATTATATTCCAAAAGACTAAAGTGTTAGTGCAGTTTGAGTTGAGTGGAGTCTAGAATGTCTGCATTTCTAAATCAACATTCTTCGTCGTCGTCATCAGCATCGGAGGAACCCTTACCAACGTTCGATCTAATGAAAAGAAATGCCCTAGTTGTGTTTTCAGCAACAAAGCCTCCGATAAAGGTGCTCTTGTGGAATACGCAGACGTTAGAGCACTTGCACAGGGAACTGAACCGCTGGCTAGAAGGGGATATTGCTCCAGGAGAAAAGATTAGGAAAATTGAGAGGTTGGTCGAGGAGACCGGGAGAAACGGAGTTACTCGTGAATGGAGAAAAGTGGAAAATGATGTTCGCGTCCTTGTGATGATGTTGACACCGAAGAAGATAAAGTTGATGGTCGTGATATCGTAGACGCCTTGGTGCAGTGTTTTGTTTTATGTCTTTACGTTGTTGTTATGTTTGTTTAATTTATGATGTCTGGGTGTAGTGTTCTATCTTTATGTCAGTTGAGTATGCTTTTAATCGAATGAAATTTTCTATTAATCGAATGAAATTTGATATTAATCGAATGAAAGTTGCTATTGAATTAAAGGGACACGGTTACTTATGAAACTATGATCTGCTGCTTGATCCTACGTTAGGACATTTCTTATGATTGTGTCCTGGTTTCCGACACGAACTAAACAATCTCACCAGCTTATCTGCGGTATCCATCTCCGTTCGAATGCGCATGCTGTTAGGACAACCCTTTTTCTTTTTACGCATCAAGTCATTATGCCAAACAATTTCGCCTTCGTATTCAGGCCAATAGTCCTCCTTTGCCACCACCCGAAAGCTGCATGTGTAGAGATTGCACAGACTTATCACTTGGTGAACTGCAGAAAGAAGGTTGGTTGGGTCCTAGCGCGCCTTCGAATAGGCTGTTATGACATGAGAGTAAGGCATACGGAATGCTTGAAACTTTCCACAATCACACCAACTCTTATCCAATTCAACACGATAACATCCCCTAGGCCTTCCTTCGTTGTGATCTATAGACTCGGCAACACTGAACCAACCAGCTGTACGGTCAAATATTGTGACCACGTGTGTGTTGACTTTGGCAGCTTCGTCTTTCATGAATTTCATCGAAGTATCGTTGTACAGCTGACCCGATTGTAATACCGAACCCCACTTCGTACGTCTTCTATCAAAGAGTGATCCTAGCCTAAAATAGGTTGCCTTTACCAAGGTAGTTATTGGGAGGTTTTGGATTCCCTTGAAAACAGAATTCATTGACTCAACGAGGTTAGTTGTCATGTGGCCCCATCGCACCCCATTGTCGTATGCCCGCGTCCATTTCTCCCTATCAATGCTATCAATCCATCTTAATGCATCCGCGTTGTTCAGTCTGGTCTCGTCACGGTAGTATCTGAATGTGGGTTCAGTTAGTGCATATCCCGCGTTCACAACCTTCTTTTGCAGCGTTTTGTCCTTGATTTCCCGCATGAAATTTTGGGCAATATGCCTTATGCAATAGACGTGGGTCGAGGGAGGATCCTGCCAACCGTTGTCATGGTTGTTGTATGCACTCTCGATGGATGGGTGTTGATCAGAGATCAAACATAAGTTAGGTTGTGGAGACACGTAAGAGCGGAGGTTTTTTAAGAAAAAACTCCAACCCCCAGTAGTCTCCCCTTCTACTATGGCGAAGGCTATTGGAAAAATGTTGTTGTTCCTGTCCTGTGCCACAGTGTTGCACCCCAAATTTTGACCCCTTATATCCTCTTCATATCATATGCATTTATTTATCTAACATTAACAAGTTTCAGAGTGTATTTTGTCAAGACACAGATGGAACGGGGCTCCGTACTGATAAAATCGAAGGATTCGAGGATTGGGTAACCATCGCTTTGGGATGAATCATTCATGAAATAAGATCAAGAGTATCATAGTGGGCCATGTGTGAGTTCAATTTGAAGTGATCACCCCCAGATGGAGTACAGCGCAGTTCAGGGTACTCGATTAGGGTTTTCGAGCAGGAAAAGTCAACCGTAGTTTGACTTTGGATTTAAAGGAAGGTTCAATGATGCAACTTTGGTCCAACAAGTTTACAAGACTTATTGAAGTCCCCTCAAAGGGTTTCAAAGTCTTGGAAGCTCCGAAACATGAACAGACAGTTCGGTAATCGCCGATCGATCGTTCGGTTGACCGGAAAGTCAACCCCCTCAAGTTTTAGGAATTGAACTTCAAGTGGTGAAGCAAAGTTGTTCCTTATGTCATAGGGGACCTACATATCAATTTTCATGATCATCGGATCAAAGACGTGAGAGTAATTGGAAAAACGGGAAATTAGGGTTTCGAAAGGGGCTAAACCCTAACTCCCTAACCGCGCACCCGATTGAAGTGGTTCAAAGCTCGTCGGAAAGCTCTTAATAAGTCCTACAAAAGTCCTATACTAGGTCACACTCAGAAAATGCATGGAATTGAAGTTATCATCAAAATCGATTCTTAGTACAAAACACTTAGTGAAATTTTGAAAATCTGGCAGCACTAAAACTTGTTTTTTGCTGACTTTGAAGGACTTTTCAACCAAGATTCACATAGATTTGGAACTTTTGGCAAACATGAATGTTGTAGAGCTACATAAGGGCTTTCCAAAATGTACAAGAACTCCCCAAGAGGAGTTAGGAGCTGAGAGTTATGAAGTGAGAAAGTTGGGCCTGTGCACTAATTTGTTAACTTGACAAAACCTAACATAAACTTGGTTTCCAACTATGCATTTCATCTCTAACCATGGATGGACATCTGATATGATGAGTTTAGAGATGGGAATAAGAAAATTCAGAAGGGCATACCAAGCAAGTACAAGATCTTGGACAAGATCCATTACTTTAATAGAAAAAGTACAAAGGTACCATAGGAGAGAGAAGGTTTGTGGCTGCAGCAGGAGGGGGCTGTCCTTTCTACCTCTATAGTCACTTCTTATGGCTTAATAGTATCTGGTTTTAGAGGCCAATGACTCTTGAAAGCATGCACCATTTGCAGAAAAAAAGATCACACTTGGATTCATGAAGATTTCCCTTTCAAAACTCCCTCCAAAAAGCCAAAATACAAAGCTGCCCTCACCCTTGTCTCTCCTATAAATAGAGGCTTCCCCCTCACTTATTCTTCACACCAGAGTTGCTTAAAAACACCAAGCATCACAGCTCTCTTTCTCTTTCTCTCTTTGCTAGTAAGTGAAGAAAAGCTTAAAAACGCCGAAAAACCGGCATTTTACAACTTTCATGCCGTTTTCATTTCTAGCCTTATCAACACTCTCACAACCATCCACACATCTTCTAAATCACATATAGAAGGTGTGTAATCCCTTG